ACTGACATTACAGACGTAGCAATCGTCCTGTCTTTCTACTTATCAGTTAGTTTAACTGCTCCCATCCTGGACATCTGCTAGTCCCAGATACTCCCCAACCCCAGGCCCAGTTTTCCTATTCTGCTTTTCATACACTTTCTGTACTAAGGTCCTAAGGACCTGAAACTGTGTCACCCACCTTCAAGCACCACAGTTATTTTCCATTACAAAGCCATCAAACTTAACGTTTGACTACATTGTGCTTTTGTGCCTCCTTGTCTCAAGACCCAGGCTGTGAGCACCCACACCGGGTAAGAAGGAGTGGGCTCACTGAACCTCATAATGGTTTAGGTTGAAAAGGACCTTGAGCTCCTCCGGCTCCAAGCCGTGCCACGGGCAGGGACCCCTTCCACTGGAGCAGCTTGCTCCAAGCCCCTGTGTCCAGCCTGGCCTTGAGCCCTGCCAGGGCCATCAGTCTAAAGCCCTTCCCCTTGCGCTATCCCTACACATCCCTGTGGATGCGGCAGCGCCCCGGGGCCGGCTCGGGGGGGTCCCCGTGTGTGTGACCACGGTGAGGTGAACCCACCCACACCCGAGCTGCCTCCGCACGACCCAGGTCCCCACCGGGGATCCCGCACCGCGGATCCCGCTCCGTGTCCCACACGGGGGCTGCGCCCCGGCTCAGGGGTGTCCGGAGCGGGGGGCCCTGGTTGTGGCGCGGCCCCGGGGGCGCCCCAGGCGCGCTCCCGCCGCTGCCCGCGGTACTCCCGTCCGCTCTGCGCCTGCGCGCGGGCCCCTTCCCCTCCTCCCCGCGCGCGGGCCTCTGCTGCGCACGCGCAAGCGCCTCTCACGCCAGCCTGGGCGCGGCCACGTTCGGCAGTGCGGCGTGACGCTCCCGGCCAGCCGCCCAATCAGCGCCCTCGCTTCCCGTGCGTGCTGGCGTCAGACGGAGGCGGTATATAAGCGGGCCGCGCCAGTCCCGCCCCCCTGACAGCGTCTCGAGCCGCCGCCGTGAGAGCATCCTCCGCCGAGAGCCGCTCGCGTCGCCTCCTCCCCGCCGCCTCCGCCGCCGCCGCCCCGCGAAGGGAAGCGTACCGTATATCGTATGTCCGCTATCCAGAACCTCCAGCCCTTCGGTGAGCCTCTTGTGCGGCGGCCGGGCCGGGAGGGGAGGGGGAGCGGCCTGGGAGCCCCGCCCCGCGGCCCCGCCCGTGGCGCAGTTGCTATTCCTGGCGCCGGTTGCGTCAGGCGCGGGCGGGGCGGGGCGGGGAGGCGGAGCCGGCGGCGGAAGGGGCGGGGCCGGCGTGTGACGGGCGGGCGGGGCGGCCAATGGGAGCGCGGAGGGCGGGCTGTAACCGGCGCTCTCCGCAGACCCCTTTGCTGATGCAAGTAAGGGTGATGACCTGCTCCCTGCCGGCACTGAGGACTACATCCATATAAGGATCCAGCAGCGGAACGGCAGGAAGACCCTCACCACAGTCCAGGGCATCGCGGATGACTACGATAAAAAGAAACTGGTGAAAGCCTTCAAAAAGGTGGGTGCTGGGCTTGGGGCAGGCTGGGGGGGGTTGCAGCAGCGCTTTCTGTTTGCGTGGTCCTGAGGAGGCTTCTCTGTGTTGTAGAAATTTGCCTGCAATGGTACTGTAATTGAACACCCTGAGTATGGAGAAGTGATTCAGCTGCAAGGTGACCAGCGCAAGAACATATGCCAGTTCCTCGTGGAGGTAGGATGACACAGAATCGTCAAATCACAAAATAGTTTGGGTTTGAAGGAAGCTTAAACCTCATCCAGTCCCAGCCTCCTGCAGTAGGCAGGGACACCTTCCACTAGTAGAGCAGGTTGCTGCAGGCCCCTGTGTCCAACCTGGCCTTGAACACTGCCAGGTATGGGGCAGCCACAGCTTCTCTGGGCACCCTGTGCCAGCGCCTCAGCACCCTCACAGGGAAGAGCTTCTGCCTAAGAGCTCATCTCAGTCTCTCCTCAGGCAGGTTAAAGCCGTCCTCAGTTGGCTGCAAGTCCCAGCTAAATGCTTAACTAAATACAAGGTGCTGTGTTAATAACTAATAGCTCCTGTTCCCGTAGCACTAGATGAGCAGGCTGAGGGTGGATTCCCTTTCTCTTTACTTTCTTGCTGGAGGCACACACTCTCCAGCAAGGTTTCACAGTGTGGTCTGACCTTTCATGCAAACTTCAGTGGGGAAGCAGAGATTTGACAGTTCATGGTGCAGGGATGGGTGCAGTGGCCTCTGCTTTGGTGTGCTGAAAAGTGCATTTTCTTTCTTGCAGATTGGACTGGCTAAAGACGACCAGCTGAAAGTCCATGGGTTTTAAGTGCCTGTGGGTCACTGAAGCTTTATGCAAGAAGATTTCCTTACCATGAAATTCCCATCTGTCCCTTGTCATAAGTTTAAAACCAGCCGGTTTGTGTAATGTAACGATCTTGGGTCCACTGTTCAGTCTGGACTAGTGTATTTCAGTGATGTAATAAACTGACCACAGCCCATGCTATCTCGTCTTGCTGTCCCTCATTTCACAGAGGTAAATGGGGAGTTGGGCGTGCTCCATCCTGAAGCCAAATGTATCCAGATGTTTCAAGCTAAGCCAAGGGACTGGGCCTGTCAGTCTGGAGACTGCCCGAATCGCTCCTCTGTTTGGCTGCTCCTCCATTCCGATGGATGGGAATCCTTGCCATGCCTTCTGCGGTCCCACACAGAGCGAGGCGCCAAGCGTGAGCTGTGACATGGTGCGGGGAGATCGCGCCTTCCCTCTGGGCAGCGCTGGCTCCTGGTGGCAGAGGCATTTGGGGAAGCTTTAAGTCAGAACAAGAGGAGTCACAGAAGAGCGACTGGATGTCTGTGGTCCCAGCCAGGCAGGTGCTGGTACCCTGCAAGCACCAAGGTACCGGGGTAGTGCACCCAAAGGAGCTGTTGCTTGGGGTTAAACTTCTGACAAGGGATCAGATTTGGACTAATGTGATGAGTATCCCTGTAGGTAGAGCTGTAGAGCTTGTGTGTTACTAGCAACCACGGCCTAATGCCCTGTGAAGTAACAGAATCCTGGTTTCTCTTTTAATGTTTTATGTAATGTATTTAAAGCCTTATTTAAATAAAAATGGTTTTCAAAAGCAGTTGCTTGCTGGATTCCCTCACTCGCTGGAGCCAGGTGAGCAGCAATGCTGGCCGTGCTCTGGGAGCTCAGTGGACTTCCCTCTTGCTGCAGGAAGCAGTGCTGGGGTCCTGAGAGTGTTTCCTGTGGGAAGGGGAGCACCCTGGGTGCTGTGGCTCCTGTGTGGATTCATTCCCTCCCTGCAAGGGCACCTGGTCTGCTGCTTGTTGGGTTCCTGTGTGCTGGGCGCTTGTGCTTCCAGCACTGACAAACTACTGCCGTGAGGGCCACTTGCCCCTTGTATAGTGGCAGAAATGGGGACCTGCCTGGGAGCAGCTTTGTACCTCTGGTCAGCTTTCGAAGAACTGAGTTGTGTTTGCTCACTGCCTGCAGTGAGCCTGGTTTTCCAGCCCTGCTCCCTGTGCTGCAGTGGAGCACCAGGTTCACCTCATGCCATTTACTTCCCTAAGAGACTTTGCTCTTGGAAGCCGAACTGCCACAATTATGCAAAGCTCTGAATCCACTGAGGAAGGAGGTGACCTGGAGCCCTGCCTGCACCTCGCGCTGGGCTGTGTGTACGTGCCAGCAGCCTGATCTCTGGGCAGCTTCTGCTCCAGGAATTCCACTTCCCTGCCTGCACCTGCGTGCATCCAGCGGGGCTCTCCCAGCAGCTCTCCCAGGCTTCCAGATGCAAGAGGAAGGCATCAGCTCGGCCCAGTGTGGCCCAAGAGAGCCAGACCCGGCTGGGCAGCAGCAAGGGTGCTGCCACCACCCTGTTTCCCTGCGCCCGTCCTGTCAGGGTGCACCCAGGGCTGGGAGAAGGGAGCAGCACCCCAGGGTCAGGCTGCAAACCTGCGTCAAGGCGCTGCCGAGCCCACGGCACTGGAGGAAGCAGCCGCTGCGTCCCAGTGACCCTGATGGTTCATTTGGCCCAGATTGAGCCATTAAAAGCCAGAAATTGCAAACCAATTTGTTTGTTCCTTGTAAAAACCGCTCCTTGGAGCGAGGAATCGATCGAGCGGGGCTGGGGCGCTGCTGCCTTCCTGCCCATTCAAAGCCCATTTGTTTTGGGGTTGTTTGAGGAGCACCGATAGCGGCACGGCGAGCGCCGGCAGTGAAGAGCACCCGGTTCCTCGCTCCACGGGTGTTATTGAAGGAGGGAGACAAATGTTCTCCACAAATCGATGAGTTGAGGGTAAATGGGGGCCAGGGGAGCTGTCGATATTGAAAGACAGAGCTGGTGGCAGCAGATGGGCTGGATACGGGATGCAGGGTTGACGCGTTAGCGAGCCCTGGGGTGCACGGTGTGTCCCCACAGCAACAGGCCCAGCCGTCCCAGAGCACCCCAAAGCGTTTTGGGGTAACAGGAGAGATAGAGGCTGCAGAAAGGGGCCTCTTTGCAGCATGTGGCTGGGCACAGCAGTTCCCTGCAGCACATCTGGCCAGCTGCATCTACTCCTATAGATTGTAACTAGTTGTGTATCCATCTACATGCATAAATACCTGCATGTATGTGCATGTATGTATATATATAGCGCTCTGTGTATGTGTAAGTAGGACTCTAAGCATTTCTAAGTATATATATATAAATATACACATATGGGGTGTGCATGTTTAGCACTACCTATACTTTTCTGTACGCATACGTGCAATTCAAGCCAAGTACCCTGTAGCTTGCTCCACTGAGACTCTATTTCTGTATGTCCCTCTGTGGCTACATATGAAAATCCCTCTCTCTATACGTGTACACTATACTTACAGCTGTATATGTGCATGTATAGCTCTCTATGTGTATGGATGTGTGTGTGTCTGTATAGATGGCTATATCACTGCCAAGCTCTGCATTCACATGTATATATTTACATGTGTCTGCATGTTAGGCATGTGTGTTTGCATATACACGTCTACAGCTACAGCTGTACCTATATGTTTATATGTATCTGCACACATACATAGCTCTGGGTGTGTGTACATTGATCTGTTTCATACAGGTGTGTCTATGAAATACAAAGCTGGAGATAGAGGGGTAGGGATAAAGAGCTGGGCATTTACACACATACACATACAACCACTGCCAGCTGCCTCCTGTAGTCTCCATATGGAGACATATACACGCACACACATACATGTATGTGTATACACAGAGACAGCCTCCATGTGTGTCCAGCTGTCCGTGCATCCCAGCGCTCTGCGGGTGGGGTCGGAGCTGCCCCAGGGTGGGGCAGCGGTGGCGGTGCCTTTAAAAGCAGAGCTGAGCCCTGGGTTGAGGCACCGCTGAGCCCGGAGCCAGCAGGTGAGTCCTGGAGGGCTGGGAACAGGGATGGACGTGGGGACCAGAGGGAGGGATGGAGGGGATGTGGGGACCAGAGGGGAGGGATGGAGGGGATGTGGGGACCAGAGGGGAGGGATGGAGGGGATGTGGGGACCAGAGGGGAGGGATGGAGGGGATGTGGGGACCAGAGGGAGGGATGGAGGGGATGTGGGGACCAGAAGGGAGGGATGGAGAGGATGTGGGGACCAGAGGGGAGGGATAGAGGGGATGTGGGGACCAGAGGGGAGGGATGGAGGGGATGTGGGGACCAGAGGGGAGGGATGGAGGGGATGTGGGGACCAGAGGGGAGGGATGGAGGGAATGTGGAGACCGGCCAAGCTCCAGGGACGAGCACCTTCTCCCTGCCTGGCAGTGTTCAAGGAGCTCTGGGCAACACTCTTGGTCATACGGTTTAGTTTTAGGTAATCCTGTGAGGCACAAGGCATTGGGCTCAATCCTTATAGCTCCCTTCCAACTTGAGTCCATTCTAGGGGGGGACCAACTGGGAGATAGGGATGGAGAAGACTTGGGGACCAGCCAGGGGGGATGGAGGGGACTTGCTGGGATGGACAGAGGGGATTTGTGAACTGGCCATGTCCTGGGGATGAGCTTCCTGCATGGATCACCACAGACTGAGCATGTGTCCCCTGTCCCATGCCCTCAGCCCTTCTGCTCCCCTTCTCCGCTCAGTCTCTCCACAGCCATGAAGGTGAAGGTTTGCATCGGCCTCATCCTCACCATCACAGCCACTGCCTGCCTGTGCCGGCCTGCAGCAGAGGCCCCAGGTGCTGGGGGGGATCCCCCCCGGCCCCCAGGCAGCCTGGTCCGGCGGGACTGGCCGGAGGCGCTGTCCCAGGAGCAGAAGCACCTCATCTCCAGGTTCCTGCCCCACATCTTCACAGGTACCGGGAGGTGAGGGGGGGGCAGCTCCGGGGGGAGGCTCCGTAAGGCACAGCCCGGCACCGCCGTGCCAACCCCCGGCCCGGGGCAGCAATAACCCCGCTGCCCTTGCCTCGGCAGAGCTGCGTGACCACAAGGGCTACGAGGGGATGGAGGATCTGCACGACCTCTACTACCCCGACTGGATGGACTTTGGCCGCCGCAGTGCTGAGGACTCGACTGATGCCGTGTAGCGGCCGCGCCGTGCAGAGCACCGGCACGCTCGGTGCACGTCCCTTCCTGCAATAAAGCCTTGGCACTACGGGTGCTGCTGGTCACGTCTTTGCTGGGAGGAGCTGGCGGCGGGGGGGAGATGGACGGTGGGATTCAGCCCCAGCCCCAGCAGGACGCACAGGGCAGATCCAGCACAGCAGCAGACACAGCACACAGGAGCTGCTTCATGACTTCACGTTTATTTGACAGGGACAGGACTTAGGGTGAGGGATGCAGCTGCGGGAGCAGCAGCTACACCCCAAGAAACACCGACTGCAGGTGACCCCCGAGCCAGGGGTGCTGCTGATGCTACTCAGTGCACAGGAAAGAGTCTAAACCCAGCATCCCTTTGCGATGTCAGCCCAGCTGCTGGCCAGGGCCAGCCACGGGTGGGAGATCTCACCCTGGCCCCCAGGACCACCCCATCATCCCCTTCGCTGCAGCAGCCCCCAAGGGCCGAGCTGCTCCGGGGACAGGCTCAGCAGAAGCAGGAACAGTTTTTATTGCTAGAAACCGACTCCTGTGAAGGGTCTGTACCCCCAACAGCAGGGAACAGGGGCAGCGGAACCTCCCCGGAGCCCCACCACCACGCACAGGGACAGATGGAGTTTTAGGTGGCAAAGTGAGGGCAGATGGTGCTCAGCAAAACCCTTCTGTCCCGGCGCTACAGCTTTAAAAGCAGGGCTCGGATGTTCTCCCTTAAGGAGCTGCCCGTGGTGCCGCAGAGCGCGCTCTGCCCAGGCAGGACAGGGATGGAGGCTCAGGTGGCAGAGCAGAGGCGCGTTACGTGCGGGGCCGCTGTTCCGGAGGGCCCCGTAGGTGATGCCCGCACCCGGCCCCTCTTGCTCAGGGGATGGGGCCGCAGCGGAGCTCCCGTGGCTGCTCTGCCTCGGCCGGGGGCCGGCACCGCCCCCTCCCGCCCCGCCCCTCCTCGCTATTGGCTGCTCCTCCGCCCCCTCCCACCCCTTCGCGGGCGCCGACAGCCGCTGATTGGTCACTTGGGTCCGTGCCGAGCCCCCCTGCGGGTACAACGGCCCCGGGCCGCGGTACCGCTCGCAGCCGCGAGGGGGCGCGACGGTGGCAGCAGGCGCCGCTTGAGCCGCGGGGTCCCCGGTGGAAAGGGGGGGTCCGGGGGGTAGCGCCGGGGTAAGGGGGGGGCAAACACAGCAGCGAGGAACCAGGCTGCTGCTCCCGCAACCCCGGCACCAGCCCCGGGGGGGGGGGGGGGGTGTGCGACACCAGAGCCCCCTCCCCAGCCTGGGTGGGGAAACTGAGGCAGCGACAAAGGGGGTGTGCGGGGGGGGTCACCCCAAAACACCACACTGGGAGCTCAGTGAACATCCAATTTACTGACAGCGGGTGGGGGGGAGCCCACCCGGGGGTGCGGGGGTGCACACGTGGATGAGGGCAGCTCAGTAGTACAATACCAGGGCTGGGAGCTGGGGGGGGGGAGAAGTCAGGCCCAGTTCCCCCCCCCCCCCCCCCAGTCAGGGTTGGACGGGCAGGGAAGTAGTACTGGTCATACTGGGAAAGGACCAGTCCCCTGTTGGCCCTGGGGTGGGTGCCAAGGTGTGGGGGTGCGTGTGGGGCAGCAGGGGTTATAACCCCTCCATGCTGCTCCAGTACCATCCCCAGCTACGTACCTAGGAGTCACCAAGGCAGGAGGGGGGTGCTCGGACCCCTCCACCCCACATTTCAGAGTCTTCCCAGTGAGCCCCAACCACCGCAGGGGGAGGAAGCACTGGGATGCTACAACACCACCCCAGGGCTATGGGGGTCCCCGGCAGTTGGGTGAGGGGCTATCTACAGCCTGGGGGGGCAGCGAGCCTGCAGGGGGTCCTAGGGCACGCGGTAGGTGGAGGTGTTCTTGGGTTCGGTGCTGGGCACGGACCAGTCCCCTGCCTCCTGGCTGGGCTGGTAGTGCCGCCACGCCGACTTGTTATAGACCGGCAACCGCTCCACCGAGTCTGTGGACAGGGCCTGCAGGAGACACGGGGAGGGGGGGGATGAGGAGGGCCCCGTGCGCCCCCGGAGGACACGGACCCCCCGTCCCAGGGGAAAGACCCACCTTTAGGTAGATGACGGCGTCGGTGCCGAAGCCCTCCATGGAGAAGAGCTGCAGGTCCCCCTGGAAGTACTTGGCGTAGAGGCGGGAGATGGGCAAGCCATAGCCAAATCCAGCCTGGGGTGGAGGGAGGAGATGGGGTGGGGGGTCCCCAGAGCTAGGGAGGGCACCCCCAGGGGACACCAAGCCTCCCCCCCCCACCCTAATAGCAACACGAGCACCCTCAAGTGTCCATGTGGGACCTTCAATAGTCACCTCACCACTCTCAGGCGCAGCCAAAGGTCCCCATGCCACACCAAAGTATGTCCATGTCACCCCCAGGCACCCCAAAAGGCCCCCAAGCCACCTCCAAACATCTTCAAGCCACCCCCCAAGCATCCCCACACATGGCCAAGCCACCTCCAGAAGTCCCTGTGCCACCCCGCTCTGCAGACCTGCGCCCTGTGCCCCGTCCCTTTGGGGTCCCCATGGCACCTACCAGGGGGGTTCCCTCGGTGGGTGCCCCGGTGCCCAGCTGCGGGGTGGGAGCAGTGGAGTACATGTAGCTGAAGAGCCGCTCGATCTTCCGCAGCGGGACGCCCAAGCCCCGGTCACTCATCTGCAGGACAGGGTGGGGGGTGACAGCCCCGCTCCAGCCCCTCACCCATAGTGTCCCCAGACTGGGGTCAGGGACACCCCCCCCCCCCCCCCCGCGATGGAGCTGGTGGTCCCTGATGTACCTTGATGGAGAGGTCCTCCTGACCCAGGGCCACCATCACCTTGATGGCCGGCAGCCGCGGGCTGCTCTCGTGGCTCTCCACCGTGGCTCTCATGGCATTCTGCAGGCACAGAGCAGTTTATGGGACCCCTCCATAACCTCCCTGCTGCTCCCCCTCACCGCCACGCTATGGGGCCGGGGTTACCTTGAAGAGCTCAAAGAGCATGTGGTAGAGGTGCGAAGGGACGTAGACGATGCTGATGGGCTGCTGGGTGTTGCTGGCTGCGGGGAAGAGGAGAGCGCCGTCCTTCCCAACCCCAAATAAGCCACCCAAGAATCCCCTGCCACAGTGATGCTCCCCAGCCTGGCCTCACCGTTCACTTCCTCGATCTCCAGGTCGGGTGAGGACATGTAGTACTTGTCACACAGGAGCTTGGCCATGTTGTAAGCATCTGGGAGGCAGAGGCAGAAGGGTCAGCACCCCCAGCACGAAGGCTGGGGCCGCGTTTGGGGTCCCCTTCACTCCCCATCCCATTCCAGATCCAGGATGTTTTGGGGGTCTTCTGGAGTGACCCCAAAGCAGAGGGGACACCTTGGCTGAGGCCCACCCAAGCTCATGACACAAATGGCTCCCAAACAGGCAGAGCCCTGGGCAAGGGGAAGGCGAGGGGGACCTTCAACCCCCTCCCCTCAGTTCAGTCCCCCCATGCAGGGGAAGCCCCCCCAGTCCCCACAGACCTCTCACCACATTGACCACGTTGCAATGGGGGTCGATGCTCCCAATGTGCTTGGGGTGCGCGGGGTTGGTGCTACCATCGAAGAGCAATGCTGGGGGGGGACAGAGAGCAGTGGGTACCCCAGAGGGCACATTAGGGACAGGGGGATGCTCGGGGCAGATCCTGAGGGAGACATCAGGGAAAGGGAAATGCTCGGGACAGGATCCCCGGGGCTGGGAGGGAAGAGGGGGCATGCTCAGGGCTGGGGTGGGATGCCCAGGATTGATGGAGATGCTTGAGGCAGGGGACCCCCAGGGGCAGGTGGGGTCCCCACGGCGCTCACTGTGCTGGTTGATGAGCATGCGGATGGAGATGCGGCTCAGGTAGAAGCGGTCAAGGAAGTACTGGATGTTCTGGTTGGAGACGGGGTCGTCCCCATAGGCCTCCTTGTACTCGATGACCCCTTGCGCCATGGTGGGCACCACGTCGTTGTGCCGGTTCCGGATGGTGACCAGGGCATCTGTGAACCTGAGGAGGGCAAAGGGATGGAGCTGTAGGGCACCAGGTCCCCGCACAGCCCAGCTCCAGGAGCTGGTGGCTCCGGGATGCTCTGTGGGGTGTGGACAGTTTGGGGATGCTGCAGGGTGCCAGGTGACACCCCAAAATCAAGGACAAGGGGTATTACTCCCAACTTACTGCCCCAGGGTGGCCTGGTCCTCGGGGTCCCTGTCCAGGAACTCCATGATGTCCAGCAGGCTCTGGACGTACCTGGGGAAGGAGCCGGTTACCTCCCACCCTGATGCCCCCAAAGAGAGGGGACACCCTGGGGACCCCACGCCGGGGGGCACAGGGTGCTCTGGGGCACCTCCCATTCAGCCACAGGGGCTCAGGACCCCCTCAACCAGGAAACCCCCCCAAAACGCCGTTGCCCCATTAAACCACCCTGTGCTTGTTGGGGGTCCAAGCCTGCAGCCCTCACGTTCCCCCACCAGTGACCCTCAACCCCCCCCACCCCACTGGAGGGGCTGTGTCCCCAGGGGCCACCATTCCAGCACGGGGACATGAGAGTCACTGCAAGAGGGGAGCTGAGGACGCTGCACAAACAACTCGTCACGTGGCGGCACTGGGAGAAGGTTCATGGCGCTGGGGGGGGACACGGTGCTTAAAGGGACACGCGGAGCCCCCCCTGAGGACGTGCATCCCCTCGGCCCTTTTAGGGGGCAGGAGGTTGGGGCAGGACACGGAGGTGGCACCAGTGACCTGGAGCACCCCGCTGGCACCTTGTCAGCCAAGGATGCTGGGTGCTGCCCTGCCAGCCCTGCGTGCAGAGGAGAGCCGGTGGCAGCGGTGGGATGGGACACGCAGAGCTGGTGGGTGGTGGGACCCCCCCCGGCAACGGCGCTGGCAGGAGTTGGGGTGCCGATGGGGAGCCATAGAGGTGACAGCGCTGGGATCCACGGTGGGACCCCTCTGGGTGACAACAGCGGGACAGAAACGTCAGCGGTGGGACCCCCATGAGCTACAGCAGTGGCAGGAGGACCCATGGAGACGGTGGTGGTGGCACCTCCACAGCCGAGGCGGTGTGGGATGGGGGGGGTCCTGCTGGCGGTGGGACCCCACGGGCGGCAGCCCCCCCGTCTCACCAGCTCTGCACCAGCTGCACCGAGGGGGTGCGCAGGACGCGGTCCGGCAGCAGGTTGATCTCCTTCATGATGTTGGAGAGGCGGACGGGCAGCTCCTGCCGCAGGAAGGCGAAGGAGGTCTTCTCACAGGCATTGCTGGAGCCTGGAGGGGGCAAGGAGGGGAGGAAACCGGGCTGAGCCCTGGCTGGGGACCCCCATCCCCAGGGCTGGCTTTGCTCCTGCTGGGGAACACTGGAGGGGACTGGGGCAGAGCCAGCAGCAGGTCCTGCTCTTGGCTGGAGGGGGACACTGGAGGGGCTGGGGGGGGGCACAGCTCAGCTGGCTGGAGAAGACAGGCTGGGATACCAGTACAGCCCAGTATGTCCCAGACTGTGACTGGAACCCCCCCTGAGGGCAATGGGGAGGGGAGAAGGACCTGGGCCACCAACAGAGCTGGTCACAGACACCCGCTGTCACCGGGACACACCGAA